ATCACACGTTTTGTGTTCGCTTTCGGCACGAGCATTGACTTTGGGAAAGTTTTTATTTGATAATCATATAACTGCGCATGGGCGAATGAGAAATAAAATGCATTTTTCTCAAATTTTCAAATTTATTCGGTTCTTTTGTTGAACATCAAATGACAGGAACAAAAAAGAGACGGTATTCAGCTTTTATAGGTGCCTCCTAGGGGATAAAATCATTTTTTTCATCTTTTATATCCACACGCATCAAGTAATAACTTAGAATTTCGATGATATGCATGTAAATCCGAAATATCCATGTATATTCAAAAATATTACTGAATATACAAAGATATGTCAAATTTAGGTGTATACGTATGAAAAAAATAGTGAATCAAACATTCAACCGTAAATTTGAACGATTTTGGTAGATAACGGTGAATATTGGAACATTTTTTGACATTACAGTCTAATGAATATTATCAAATATATATAGATGTTTGAGATTGACGTGCATACCAGTAAATTAGCGCAGATTGTTTAGTCAAAAAATGTTCCAATATTCACCGTAATCCACCAAAATCTGCCAAAATCCTTCGAAAGTGGTTCAAATTTTCGGTTGAAGGTTTGATTCACTATTATTTTTATTTTTCAGAGTTATTTGCGTTCTGCAAAATCGCGTGAAGCCCCTAGGGTGCCTCTAATCTATTTTTCCGAGCCTTTTTTCATCTTTTTTGATTACGTCCTACCTTCGCTTCCGGATCCAATCACGCAAAGGTGCAATTGGTTGAAAAATAACTGGCTGATCAGGTAAACGAATTATGGTCATACCTACGAGTTTGTTATTCTTTTTCGAAATCATTGGTCCTCCAAACGTGGAGGGAGTTCCCATAATTTCATCTAAAGTGTAACACATCAAATGATTTGCATCAAATAAATCGCCCAATTGCGGTTTGCATTTGACGCCATCCAAATACTTTGTATCATAACGTCTTGTTTGTATGGTTCCATCAAATACCACATCACCATAGGCAGTGACCACTTCGGACGGGTCATTCAATTTATAATCTTTGTCCACCAAATCGATGCTGCCGACGTTATCGTTGAACTCTAACGGTTCTTCAAGTGTGATCTTGGCAATGTCAAATGTCAATCTAGACGATGCGTATTTCTCATGAATTTCTATTTGGTCTTCGGTGACTTTGATTTTTGTCGGATTGCTTGATAGTTTATTAACTATTACATAGACATATGGGGCGCCGTGCACATTATGTGCACAGGTCAAAATCTCCGTTTTTGATAAAATGATTGCATTAAATTGTATTTGATCATCTTCTTCGGCATTGGCATATGCTTCCTTGGTAGCGGTGAGAAATTCTGTAATGGAAAAACATGTCAGTACTTTGATTATTAGTCTTGAAAAATCTCCTCTTTTGTCCTCGAGAAAGAAAGAATATGAAAATAAAAAGTGACATTAAAAATGGTTTGATTTAATTCAAATTTCAAATGCACACTTACTTCCCGGTACCCATATATCGACCAAGAATTTAGCTTCATTAGGTGTAACGCTCTGAAATAAAAGCAAAAATTGATTCGGTTTACATTGTTTGAAATGTGAGTTTTGGCATTGAAATTAGAAATGATTTTTTGTTATTGTTGAAGTCAGTGAGAAACTATCACTATGCTCAATGTATTACGTCTTACCCTTGGCTTCCGGATCCAATCAAGCAACGGTACAATCGGTTGAAAAATAACTGGCTCATCAGGTAAACCAATTATGGTCATGCCCACGAGTTTGTTATTCTTTTTCGAAATCATTGGTCCTCCAAACGCACAGGGATTTCCATTACTCTCATCAAAAGTGTAACACATCAAATGATTTGCATCAAATAGATCGCCCAACTTCGGTTTGCATTTGGTCCCATTCAAATATTTTATATCATAACGTCTCATTCTCATTGTTCCATGCAATACCATATCACCATAGACAGTGACCATTTCGGATGGGTCATTCAATTTGTAATCTTTGTCCACCAAATCGATGCTGCCGACGTTATCGTTGAACTCCAACGGTTCTTTAAGTGTGATCTTGGCAATGTCAAATGCAAATCCCGACAATGTATATTTCTGATGAATTTCTATCTGGTCTTCGGTGACTTTGATTTTTGTCGGATTGCTTGATAGTTTATTAACTATTATATAGACATATGGGGCGCCGTGCACTTGATGTGCACAGGTCAAAATCTTCGTTTCCGACAAAATGATTGCATTAAATTGTAGTTGAAAATTTTCGTCGGCATCGGCATATGAATCTTTGTAGGAGGTAAGAAATTCTGCAAGAAAAACATTTCAGTTGTTTGAGTATGAATCATGAGGAATCTCCCCTTTTGTTCTCGAAAAAAATATGAAAATAAAAAGCAGTGAATGACAGATAGCTGAGGATATATGCTGAGCATAGGAACTCAGCAAGCTGAGATTGGTACATTTAGATTTTGCGACTTCCCTGCCATGCAAATTCATGTGATAAGATGAATCTGGTGCACATTTTTCAATGCTTTCCATGAAATTTCCTGTCATAAATTCATCTTATCACATGAATTTGCATGGCAGGGAAGTCACAAAATCTAAATGTACCAATCTCAGCTTGCTGAGTTCCTATGCTCAGCATATATCCTCAGCTATCTGTCATTGACTGATAAAAAGTGACTTTTAAAACCGGATAGTTTTAAAGTGTTTTAAATAATTATAAAATTGATTTATTTCGAATTTCGAATGCACACTTACTTGGCTGTACCGTTATATCGGCCATAAATTTAGCTTCGTTAGGTGTAAGCGGTGGTGGAATTGGTTTCACACTCTGAAATAAAAGCAAAATTACAATTGAACGCGTTGTTCAGAATCAGAATTGAGACATTTTATTACCTTTGGGTCATGAATAAAATCAAGGAATAGAGTAATTGGAAGGAACATTCCACGACCACTTGTTGTTCCATTTATACCCACAGTTATGCCCACGATTTTGCCATTTGTTTTTGAAACGACTGGTCCACCCGAATCGCCCGCTGTAATAATTTCACCATCTTTTGTAGTATCACCAGTGGTAAAGTACAAAGTCTGAACTGGGTTGAATGTGTTGGCCCGTTTGACATCAGATATATAGTTCGCATCGCAACGCCTCAATATCATTGGTAGATTCAACACGCCATACCCATAGACAGTGACCATTTCTGATGAGTTATTCAATTTGTAATCCTTGTCTACGAGTTTGATACTGCCAACGGTTTCGCTGAACTCTAATGGCTTTTCCAGTGTAATTTTGGCAATATCAAATGCACCAACAATTGATTCATTATAAAGAGGATGATATGCCAAGTTCTCTTTTTCGACTTTGATTAGGTTTTTTTGTTTTTCATCTAATGCAACTTTGGTACCAGCTACCACATAAACATATGGAGCGCCAGCCACACAATGGGCATTCGTGATAATTTCCGTTTTTGACAGAATAAATGCGGTACATGTAGACAGCATTTCTCTATCAGCATCAGTTACATTGTCTTTGTACGCATACAAATATTCTGTAATGAAATCGTTTCGTCTCAGTACAAGCAGAAATTAACACACACAAAATTGATAGATTATTTGAATCGAAAATTCACACGAAAAAAGAATAAAAATTATTCTAAAGCAGACTTACTTGCGGGGACATGGATTCCAGCTACAAACTTTGCCTGTGACATGTTTTCAATTACTTCGCCCTTGAGAAGAGCTTGCGAAAAGAAGCCATCTGTTCATTAAAAAATAAAATAAAATTTTGAATTAAATATAATAACAGTCTAAAAAATCTGTTTGAATCATAAAAAGCGTGTTCGAAAACGAAAATTGTCTTACGTTTTCCATGAAGTTCCTAGAAAAATAAATTTCGTGTTTACTTTCAGTTCTACAAAAATATCGTATTTTGTTGGATAAAAATGATAAAGGAATAGAAAAAACTTACCGAAAATTCAACGATAAATAGCACCGAAAACAAACCGTGTAGTAGATTCATTTTAATTTGCCAACGAAACAGAGTTTTAACCTGTTGCACAATGATGATTTGAGAAGAGATACTTTAAATTCGTTTGGTCTTCCCTATGCGGTGCTGCCTATTTAATACCATTCATACACCAATAACTGATACGTGCACTGCAACGTATAATTGTTGAAGTGTAGAATTTTACAGTTATGGAATTTACGAATTGAGGTCTACTAATACTATGCAACAAATTTCAAAGAAAAATTTCCCCCAAAAAGAGGAGACTCATTTCCAAGGTTTTTTTGGCCCACCTAATCCAAATCTGATACGGAAAGCAATGAACGTATCTTGAAAACTAGACGTGCCAGTACAAACTAACGCCAGATTTGGATTAAGTGGGCCCAAAAAACTTTGTAAATAAGTTCCCTTCTCTGTTGTTCCTTGTTGTTGCATAGTGTAATCATATTCAGACACTAAATGAAGCTCAATAACAAAATTCTTTTGATGGATACGTGTAGCTGATACAATTTGTGTAAATTGATAGCAAAAAATGGAATACGTTCGAAAACATTTTAAATTCTTTTGTTCTTCAGCCTGATGATGTTCCTAAAAAGAGCGAAACGTCGCATGATAAACGAATAACCATTTTCGAAGAACACATCACTTTTGTATTTATACAGGTGGAATGAAAAAACCGCTGCGCGTGTACACCAAAGGAATTTGGTGCATGTGGTGCTGGAGTGCACAGTATATATTATGTGTGTACGATGATATTCAAGTTATGAATTCATTTCAGAGTGACTAGAATTTACTTTAAGGGTACTTTTTGGTTCAATGCGTGATGGAGCGTTATAATGTATATATGAGTGGTCGGGAATAAAAATGACCGAAGTTGAACCACTTATGGATAAGCGTATCACAATATTCTTGTTTTTCAAAAGTGCAACATGAATTCCGTTCGCTTGTAAGTGAATCGTGAAATATCTGTTGACTTTAGAAATCGTGTTTCACTTTAAATGAAGCAGAAATGTGCGATACACTTTCAAGTCCATTGGAATGATGACTAATCTTAATGGTGGTTTTGGTTGTGACTTGGTTTCGGAGTAAAAATTAAGTGGTAAGGAGCGCGAATTTCAATGTGCCGATAATACCAACGGTGCACACGAAATACTCTATTAGAATGTGAAAACATTTGTTTACAACTTTTTTTCTATTTTTGCCCGTGTTGCGACCGTCTACATGGCAGGTTTGTATGAAAATCTCTGAGGTCGGAGCGCGGCGTGGCGCGGCTGCAATTATACATTGATTTATATGGTAAAGGGTGTCCCAATAGCAACGCAAAAAAGTATTTATAAAAAAAACAATGAAAATAGTTTCCAATTTTCCAAATCTTTATTGTATGTTGTAGTTTGGTCTTTACCATTTATGTATGAAAAAGAATATCGTGCAAATGTCCACCACGGCTCTTTTCACAGACCTTCAGCCGCTTGCCAAATTTTTCAATTACAGATTCGAGTAATGGCACATTTACGGTGGCTATGACACGTCTGATTTCAATTTTAAGCTCGGCAATGGTGCTTGGTTTGTTGGCATAGACTTTATCCTTGACGTAGCCCCAAAGAAAATAGTCCAATGGCGTTAAATCGCACGAACGAGGCGGCCATTCCACTTCGGCCTTTTGAGAAATGATGCGATTTGGAAAACGTTCTTCGATTACCGCTAATGTTTCAGGTGTTGTGTGTGGTCTGGCGCCGTCTTGTTGAAACCACATGTCGGATAAGTCCATATCTTCAATTTCCGACCAAAAAAAATACTGCAACATCTCACGATATCGCTCGCCATTGATGGAAACGGCTCGACCATCATCATTTTCGAAGAAATACGGCCCGATGATGCCGCCGGCCCATAAACCGCACCAAACAGTGCAACGAGCTGGATGAGCTGACACTTCTTCAGTTTCTCTTGGATTTTCGCTTCCCCAGAATCGACAATTTTGGCGATTCACATACCCATTCAAGTGAAAATGAGCCTCATCCGAAAAGATCACTTTCTTCAAAAAATCGGCATCCGCGGCCTCTTTTCCTTTGACCCATTCGACGAAATCTCTTCGTTTTCCGTGGTCCATCGGTTCAAGTTCTTGAGTGAGGACAATCTTATAAGCGTGTAGACCCAAGTCTTTGGTGAGAATACGCCATGTGGTCATCCTAGAGACGCCAACTTGTTGAGAACGTCGACGAACCGAGGTTCTTGGCTCGTCCTCCACACTTTCACTCACAGCAGCAATATTTTCGTGCGAGCGGGCCGTTCGCATACGGGTTGATGGTTGATCGTCTAACACAGAGCCAGTACGCTCAAATTTCTGCACCAGGCGACTGATGGTGGACACATTTGGTCGATTATTTCGGCCGAAAAATTCACGAATTGCACGAAACGTATTTTGCAAAATAGACCCATTTTCGTTATGGGATTTAACGACTTGAACGCGTTGATCTTTACTTAATCTTGACATGGTTATAAATGGTATAGATGGACGCTTCAAACTGACATTCCAGTTTGACAGATCGGGGCATCCATCATGAAATCCCTATTGAAAAACTTTTTGCGTCCCTATTGGGACACCCTTTAAAATCTACACATGGCCAAAACTCGCATTATCGAGCAGAATTCGGTAAAAATAATGTGTCCATCGCTAGGTGGATTTAACTATATGAAAACTTGTAAAAAATGATATAAACGCGCACGAAATTGTTACATTCACCAGAGAACTTGCATGATTCCACTCAGTTGACAAGTTCCGTATTAGAACAACATGGGCGAACGCGCGCGAGTTCGTGTGCAAACATGAAGCTGGACGACGCGCACACATCAGTCGTTCCATTTATTATATCTGGATTAACTTTTTCTTCCAACACTTTCTCCAGCTCTTTAAAAATATTTCCTTTGTCCATTTTATAATTATATAAATCTTTGAACATTTGGAAAGGATGTGAAAAATCTTTATACACGTAAACAACCAATTTTTAGTTTGAAACGCGTTTTAGTTGTCAAATAACAACTTGAAAAACGCGCAAAACCATAAACAAACTTGTGTAAACTTGTGACCGTGCGCGTCAGTACGTACAACGAACGCGTCGAACTTCCGCGAATCAAGCAAACTGGCAGAAAACATGCTGCACTCGTAAGAGTCAAATTCCCCTAGGTCCATCGCCTCCAAAACGCTATGAATAAATTCCAGCCATCATTTCACCAGTTCCGTAGTACCTATCCACTAGGATACCCAAAACTCATGCTATCTCGCTCACACTTACGTGCAGATAATCACGTAACTGCGCATGGGCGAATGAAAAATAAAATGAATATTTCTCAAATTTTCAAATTTATTCGGTTCTTTTGTTGAACATCAAATGACAGGAACAAAAAAAGAGACGGTATTCAGCTTTTTCAGGCGCCTGGAACCCCTTTTTTTCAAGCCTATGTTCTTCTTCTTTGATGACGTCTCATCTTTGGCTTCCGGATCCAATCAAGCAACGGTGCAATCGGTTGAAAAATAACTGAATTATCAGGCAAACGATATATGGTCATGCCCACGAGTTTGTTATTCTTTTTCGAAACCATTGGTCCTCCAAACGTAGAGGGAGTTCCCATACTCTCATTTAAAGTGTAAAACATCAAATGATTTGCATCAAATAAATCGTCCCAGTTCGATTTGCATTTGGCGCCATCCAAATACTTTGTATCATAACGCCTCTTTCTCATTGTTCCATCCAATGTCATATCACCGTAGACAGTGACCATTTCGGATGAGTCATTCATTTTGTAATCTTTGTCTACCAAATCGATGCTGCCGACGTTATCGTTAAACTCTAACGGTTCTTCAAGTGTAATCTTGGCAATGTCAAATGCGAATCCAGACAATGCATATTTCTCATGAATTTCTATTTGGTTTTCGGTGACTTTGATTTTTGTCGGATTGCTTGATAGTGTATTTACTATTACATAGATATGGGGCGCCGAGCACATTATGTGCACAGGTCAAAATCTCGGTTTCCGACAAAACTATTGCATTAAAATGGATTTGAACATCTTCGTCGGCATTGGCATATGCTTCCTTGATAGCGGTAAGAAATTCTGTAATAGAAAAATATCTCAGGATGAGTATTGGTTTATGAATCATGAAAAATCTCCTCTTTCGCCGTCGAAAGAAAAAAAAATATGCAGATTAAAAGTGACGTTAAAAACCACATGATAAATTGATTTAATTCAAATTCCGAATGCACATTGCACACTTACTTCCCGGTGCCGTTATATCGGCCATAAATTTAGCTTCGTTAGGTGTAAGCGAAGGTGGAAGTGGTTTCACGCTCTGAAATAAAAGCAAAAATACATTTTGTTCGCGTTATTGAATTGCAAATTGGGGCATTGTGATTAGATACCTTTGGATCATGGATAAAATCAAGGAATGACGTAATTGGGAGGAACGATCCGCGGCCACCTGTTGTTTTATAACCCGTAGTTATGCCCACGATTTTGCCATTTGTTTTTGAAACGACTGGTCCACCCGAATCGCCAGGTGTAATAATTTCGCCATCGTTCGTAGCTTCGCCAGTGGTAAAGTACAAAGTCTGAACTGCGTTGAATGTGATGGCTCGTTCGACATCAGATATATAGTTCGCATCGCAACGCCTCAATATCATTGGTCCGATGTTGTTCAACACGCCATACCCATAGACAGTGACCACTTCTGATGAGTTATTCAATTTGTAATCCTTGTCCACGAGATCGATACTGCCAACGGTATCGCTGAATTCTAACAGCGTTTTCAGTGTTATTTTGGCAATATCAAATGCACCAACAATTAAATGACTAAAATGAGGATGATATGCAATGTTCTCTTTTTCGACTTTGATTTTGATTTTTTGTTTTTCATCTAATGCAACTTTGGTACCAGCTACCACATAAATAAATGGGGCGCCAGCCACACAATGGGCATTCGTGATAATTTCCGTTTTTGACAGAATAAATGCGGTACATGTAGACAGCTTCTCTCTATCAGCATCAGTTAACTTGTCTTTGAATGCATACAAATATTCTGTAATGAAATCGTTTCGTCTCAGTACAAGGAGAAATTAACACACAAAATTGATTTGAATATTTGAATCGAAAATTCACACGAAAAAGAATAAAAATTATTCTAAAGCAGAATTACTTGCGGGGGCATAGATTCCAGCTACAAACTTTGCCTGTGACATGTTTTCAATTACTTCGCCCTTGAGAAGAGCTTGCGAGAAAAAGCCATCTGTTCATTAGAAAAAAAGATTTGAAATTTCGAATTGAATATTATAAAAGTATGAAAATCTTTTGGAATCATAAAAAGCGTGTTCGAAAACGAAAATTGTCTTACGATTTCCTTGAAGTTCCTAGAAAAAGAAATTTCGTGTTCACTTTCAGTTCTACAGAAATATCGTATTTTGTTGGATAAAAATAAAAATGATAAAGTAAAAGAAATAACTTACAGAAAATTCAACGATAAATAGCACCAAAAACAAACCGTGTAGTAGATTCATTTTAATTTGCCAACGAAACAGAGTTTTAATCTGTTGTACAATGATAATTGGA